CCTAGTCAAGAGTCAGAGTCTTTTCTACTTAAATCTCTCTCTCATCTTTACTCTCTCCTCTGCCTCCTGCGCTGGCCAAGGGCTTGCATTCTCCAGTTCTTGATGAGGAGGTCACCATCACAGCTTCCAAAGCCCTCCCCCCCGCCTCGACCCTGCCCTGCACCGAGCAGCGGTCAGCAAAGGCCGGTGGCCTCCATACCTTCCACGGACACCAGATGATGAGCAGGTAGGACACACGAGGTCCCTGCTTGCATGGTGCTCCCAGGCTAGTAGGACAGGTCAGTAATAGACAGGGAGAGCGAACAAGGTAATACAGCTGTGATAAGTGCTGAGACAATGAAACGAAGTGGGGGAGTTCTGGAAAAGTCTAGCTCTGTGTCCCTTCTCTGCTTAGAACCCCTCTAAAGCAAATAGCAGAGTTGAAGGAGAATGTGCAACAGATAAGACAAAGTTCATACAAATTAATCAAAAGGTTAAGGGGCAGGTCCCGTGGCCAAGTGGTTAAGTTCGCGTGCTCTGCTTAGGCGGCCCAGGGTTTCGCTGGTTCAGATCCTGGGCACAGACATAGCACCGCTCATCAAACCATACTGAGGTGGCGTCCCACATGCCACAGCTAGAAGGACCCACAACTAAAAATATACAACTATGTACCGGGGGGATTTGGGGAGTAAAAGGAAAAATAAAATCTTAAAAAAAAAAAAGAGGTTAAGACTCGGATAGATAAATGAGCAAAGAACCAGAGACAACTGCATGGAGGAGGAAATACACCAGGGACAAGCCATTTTGGGGAAGGTTCAACCTCAGGCTTGGAAGGAAAGCAAATTTAAAAAACAAGGCAACAACAACTGAAAACAAGGGAGCACTTCCCCCCATTACATTAGTAAAATGCTCTCAAAACAAGAACACCCAGTGCTGGCAAGGATGCTGTGAAATTGGCCTGAGGCTCTACTGCTGGTGGCTGGAGGATTCTATTGGTATGGCCCTTCTGGAAATGAATTTGATAATATGCATCCAGAGCTAGGAAGAAATCCACACCCTCTGGCACCACAAGACATGTGCCTAAGGAGAGAAGGACGCAAAGCCACTGAAAGGCCAATGGTGAAGATAGTTAAGTCCAGTGTGGCTGCTGAAGACTCCTCTCACAAACACAAACTTGGGAGGTAATGCTGGGGAGAGGGCAGGTTACAGACAACCAGGCCCCCTCCCTCCCTCCCTGCCCCAACGGGCCGCCTGGGACTCATCTCTGGCCACAGCCCACCATGTCCTAGCCTCTGAAATGAGTCCTACTGCCTGCGTTCAGGGGCCTCAGGCAGCTGGGCTGTGTCCCCTTGCCCCCCAGCCCAGGCCTCCTGCGTCTGTAGCCTGTCCAGATTCTGCGCCTTCTTCAGGTCCTCCCTAGGCACCCTCCTCTGGGGAGGCCTTCTGTCTCCTGAGCCAGCCTGTAGTCTTCCTCCTCTGTGCTCCAGACCTCAGTTCCGTGAGGCTGCAATGCCCGAGAGCTGCAAATTGGGAGGCCGGGGCCGAGCAGGGCCGGCTTCCCCCTGTCTCGCTGCTCCAGGGCAGGGACTCAGTCTTCTGTCATCGCCTTTCCCTCCCATCCTAGCTCCCAGAGGCAGAGGTGGGCTGCCACCTGGCCATGAGTCCCAAGCCTGGGGGCTCCCCCCAGGCCAGTCGCAGCTGGAGGAGGGACGCTAGGGTGGGCAGGGGTTGAAGGCACCAAGGGGCTCTGCAATGTGCCAGTCTGGCTGCCTTGTGGGCAGTGGGGGTGGCAATGCCCGACGGGGAGGTGGAGAGACACATGCCCCTACCTGGACTGTCATGGGGCTCAGTGTGGTTGGAGAGAAGAAGGGTCACCAACCCCGAGGGAGGTAAGAGCTCCTGAGGTATGGAGGCATGTTTTCTGGAGAGGGCTCCCTGGAGGAGGTGATGGGAGTCAGGCTGGGAAGATGAGGATGGGGAGGGAGGCGACTTCTGCACTGGTGAGGGGAGAGGAAGCTAGGCTTCAAGAAACCCCCCAGGGTGGGACTGTGCCGTCACCTGCATCTCCCAACGCCTGAAGAGTGGCTCTCCTGCACCTTGCTCCAGACCCCTGTTGGCAAGCCTCTCCCACGGGAGAAAGCTTTCAGGAGGGGGAATTTCAGTCTTGAAAGCGAGTGCTTAATGTGCCGGGCGGCAGCAGTGCCTGCTGCGCCAGCAGCAGGACAAACTGGAACCTGTTGCCACCTCCGCACTGCAGGGCTGAGCGCAGCCAAGTGCCCCCTCCCTCGACCCTCGCCGGGTGGCCCGCACTCAGGCCCCATGCAGCGCCCGCTCTGGGTGCCAGCACCCCTCAACGCAGCTCCCCAGGCAGGCTGGGCAGGGGGAGGTGGTGCCGCGCGCCGGGGCAGGCAGAGCCAGGCCACCCGATGGCCGCAGGGTGGGCGCTGCGCCCGCCGCCCCAGCCCTCTCTGGGCACTCCCAGCCTCCGCCCGGCCGGGCCAATGCCCCTTGTAGGCCGGGAGGACGCTGCTGCCAGTAGGCCCGGAGCGTGCCGCGTGCACCCTCTGGTCCCTGGAGCCTCCAGAGAGTGGCGCCCCACCTCCCCCTCCATCCCTCCGCCCCGAAATGCACGGTTCCCACCGGGCTGAGTGGCAAGATTTCGGCTGTGGCTGTCACAGCCGGTCACATGGCCAGGAGCACAACTCCCAGCGACAGCGTTCCTGCCAAACCCAGTGTCTTTTCCACCAAATCCACTTTCCACTGGGGATGGCTTTCTGCTTTTCCTGGTCGGTCTCCTCGCGGGACTGGGAGTTCCTCCAAGGCAGGAGCCGGTGTGTGCCCGGCCCTAAGCTGGCCCCAGCCCCCAGTGCAGGGCCAGGCATGCACCTCGGTGCTCCCGGAAGAAATGCTCGTTAACAAAGGCAAGAATGAATGAAACCAATTGTTGCATGAGGGAACCCAGGAGGGTGCTGCTCCTGCTTTTTCTCTCAGCGGGCCACAGGCTCCCCTCTCAGACACACACAAGCACACGTGCACACACAGTCCTCTCCCACCACACTCGCAGACAGGCGCACACACTGCACCCACCCGGACTCCTATCCTCATGGAATCCACGACCTACTATGTGCGGGCTGGGCAATTGGCAGCCGTTTGATCCCAGCTGGGCCGCCTCCATTTCAATGCCTGCCTCTTCCTTCCTCCTCCCTGCCGCCCTTCCGCGCCCTGCCATCTAAGTAGGGTGGGTGCCTTGAGCCCCAAGTGCCTTCTTCATCTCTTAGGGAAGAGGCCAAGCCAGTCACTGGAGAGACTCAAGGTCTGTTTAGGGAGGCACCTGGGGGGCCTCAGGAGGGTGAGTGGCTGCCCAAGGTGAGCCAGAGGTGCCTGACGGTCCCCAAATGCTGTAGCCTCTAGACCCCACGGGCCAGGTGTTGCAGGTGGTGGTGGAAGGGAGTCAGGGCTGTGCTGAGGGGCGTTGAGGGCTATGGGGGCGGGGCAGGGTGCTGAAAGTGTGAATCCAGCAGGTGTGCCGACATGTTGGGGTGTATGAGAGCGCATGCTAGGGTGTATGCCTGGGGAGTGGGCCTAGCTATGGCGAGTGGGGAGTGTCGGCCGCTGTGGTGTGGGTTAGTGTTGGGGCTTTGCTCTGGGGTGGGTGGATTGCTGTCTCCAGGCTGGGAACGTGGGTGGGGTGTCTGTAATGAGCATATGGGGAGGTGGAGATGGTGGGGGCACGGTGAGGGAGCTCTGTTAGTGCAGATATCACAGGGATGTGTTGGGAGTGTGTGCCTGTGCATGAGTGTGTACTGAGGCGTGGCAGGGTCTGGGATGGGTGCCTGCCTGAGTTGGGGACAGTGGTGGGTGGTGGATTAGGTGCACTGCAGGGACCCGGGTCCACGGTGCACGGTTTGTGTGCGCGCGTAAGTGGCAGGGGGTGTGCGTGGCGCAGGACACTGGAGGTGCACGGGTGGGATGCGGGGGGGCGTGCGGCGGCAGGACCGAGTGGGCCTCGCCCGGGCGCGTGCGTGGGTCTCGCTGGGGCGCGTGTGTCGGCCCCATGGGGCGCGCGTTGGCAAGACTTTGGGGGTACAGGGCGGAGGAGTGCACGTCGGGGGGCTGCCACGCCGGGTGGGGGTGGGGGTGGGGGTGGGGTGGGTGCCTGGGCTCCGCGTGCTCCCCTCACCTCCGCTCACCTCCGGTCCGCTCGGCTTCCTGTGCCAGCTCCGCGCGTCGCGGCCGGGAAGTTTCCGAAGCCCGGGCGGCGGGAAGCTCCACCGCTGCTGCCACGGAGCGCCACCGGAGCCTCGGGCGGCGGCCTCGCCTGGAGCCGAGGGGGCCGCCGCCGCCGCTGCGGAGGGAAACTCCAAATCCCGCCTCCGCCGCCGCCTCCTCCCCTCCCGTCGCCGTCTTCTCCGCCCCCTGCCCAGGAGGGGCAATGTCGCCGGCGGCGCGCAGGCAGGCAGTGGGGAGGGGCGGCAGCCTGCCCGGCGTCTCCCTCCACCTCCCGCGTCCCCGCCTGCCTTCCTCCCACCTGCGAGCCTCTGCCGCTCCGCCCGCCGCCGTGCCTGCCGCGTGCGGGCCCCCCGAGTTTGGGGCGCAGGAGTGGGTGGGGGCCTGACCTAGGCCGGACCTGGACTGGGAGAGGGTTGCACCAAAGAGCCTGCTTCCAGCGAGAGAAGCAAAGGGGCCCATCGAGGACCAAGCACACCTTGGCCCCCAGGGCCACCTCCTGCTGCCATAGGGGAGAGGGCGTAAGGCCTAGCTGAGAGCGCAGCAAGTGCCCCCAAGCCCCAGGTCCCCCTGCGCTGTGTTCTCCCACTCTCCTCTGTCTGATTCTGGCATCAGAGCCTCAGTGCCTGGAAGAGGTGGAGCCAGGGCGGTGGGGGAGGGGCTGGGAGGGGTGTTCTCGGCAGGCCCACTTTGCTTTCCTCTGCACCAAAGGCCACGAGCGTCCCCACCAAGCACCTCGTTTTGTCCTTACACCAGTCTGAGAGTCCGAGGAGACGTTCCCATACTATAGCTGGGGAAACCGAGGCAGTGGTTTCTTGGTGGTCAGGCAATAATGTGGTGGCAGAGCCTGACTGGGCTCAGGCTGGCTGTGTTCAGAAGCCTTAGCTGAGTGTGGACAAGACCCAGTGGGTTTCTGGCCTGCTCACTGCTGTGGGGAGGGGGCGGCAGGGAGGAGCACGCAGGAGGCTCACCCCTGGAATGGGGCAGAGGGATGTTGAGAACTAGTGTGAGGCTGGGCCGTCAAGGGCTGGCTTCGGTCTGGGGCTTCCCCTATGTTTGGCCCAGGGAGATCAGAATGCGGTGAGGCCAGGCCAGGACTGCACCCAGAGGGAGGCAGGCAGAGCCGGATGCCAGCTGTTCATGGATGATGGGCGGCCAAGGGAGGCCTGGCCGTCTGGCTCGCGTCTGCGGCAGCGCTGAATTCCCCTGAGTCATCACCCCTGGAAAAAGAGAGGAGAGGGACAGCTTTGTCTCTGGTGCCTCAGTTTCCTCATCTGTACAGGGGAGTAGAGGCCAGGACCTCTTGATCTCCATGGGCCCTCCTAGCTTTGCTGTAGTTTCCATCCATGATGTGTGAGCTGGGGCAGGGTCCTGCTGCCACCAGGCGGCCCTGCCCGCTCTGTCCTTTGCCTCTTTCCAGCCTGAGCAGACGCCCGCCCTTAGAACCTTCCCCCTGCTTGGGCCCCTGGGCCTTTCTGGGCTGCACCCACTGGCAGGTGCATCTGCCAGGCAGGCCCAAGGTGCTCCAGGGCTGGGTGTCCTTTCACCTCCCCTTCAGCATCAGGGCTCCAGGGGCCAATGTGGAGCTGAACTGCCAAAATGACACCACACGGGCAAGCAAACGAAACTGTGTGCAGGGTCCCCCCCGCTGGAGCCAGCACTTCTGTAGCAGTCCACACTGCCAGTTGTCCTGAAGTTAGGGGGCCTTTGCTGAGAAATCAACATATGCTAGAAGCTGTGCCACGCAGCAACAGGACCATTTTATCAGTCAAAACTGAAAATACGTGGAGACTAAAAAAGATGGGGCTGGCTTTCACCCCTTGGTGGTCCTCCCATTTGGGGAAGACATATGGCGGCTGGGCCTGTGGTCTAGGCACTCAGTTGGGCCCAGGCAAAGGCTTGGTGAGCTGACTCACAGAGGAGATTCTGGACAGGTTGGGTAACCAATTCTCCCCACCCCCTGCCATCCTGTGCTTTAGTGACTCAGGCCTGAACCGCTGGAGGAGGAACATTTGGATTGAATGATGCTGCCCCCACCCCTGCAAGCTCTCATCCCAGCCCTCCCACAGCACCTCTGCTCTCCAGGCAGCAAGGCCCACCCAGCCCAGGAGGAGAAGAAAGCTGACCCGACGGCCAGGCCTCCTTCCTCTGCCCCACGGACTTGTCTTGGCTAGCAAGGCCTGGCCTGTGCCCTGTGGAGGAATAAAGTGGAGAACCTTCTTGAAGAGGACTTGAGTGCAAGGCTGACTGTTTCGGAATCAAGGTTGTTCTGAAGGCACAGCGGGGCCTCTGTCTCCGAAGCAGCCAAGCCCACGTGCTCAGGCCCCATCTGCTCCTAAGAGAAATCTCAGCCCTCACCCTCTCTCTTCTGTGGTCCTGCTCCCTTTCACTGCAGAACTCAAGGCACTCAGGAAAACGCCCCAGGAACTGCCAGCCCTGCGCAAGGTGGAGGGGCAGAGAGCTGGGCCTTGCTTGGGATAGAGCGGTCTTCAGCCTGGCAGTGCCACCAACCACTGACTCAGCTCTGACACTCTCTGCCATGGTGGCCCTCTGGCTGGAGGCGGCCGTACCTGTTAACGCACACCTTTTTCATGCCCCATTCTGGGCCACTTTCCAGGTGAGTGAAGCTTTGAGGAGAGACCCACCCCCTCTGGCCCCTGCATGGAGACCCTGCTGCCAGCTGGGGGGCCCCGGCACCTGGGCACACCCACAGCCGAGGTTTTATTTCTGGGCAGCCATTGGGTCCTCCTGAGAGCAGTATCTGCACTGAAGCCATTTGCTCCCGTGACAACCGCCCCCAGGCCGCCATCCCTCCACCATCAGGTACCAGGCTTCACTCTGCTCTGCCCCCATCCGAGGCATCTAGCCCAGCATCTTCCAAACCCATCTCGCTACCAGTTGCCATGCCTTCAGGAGCACATTCTAGACCCTGTTCGGGAGCACCCCACCTGCCAGCAACAGTTCCCAAAGGGACCCCGTCCAGACATTTTAAACAAAATGCCCCTGTGGCATCTTCCAGATCTGTATGGCCAGGCAGGGACAGGAGAGAGCGAGAGCAGACAAGGGAGGGGCGTGCTGGGAAGGAGAGCCAGCCTGCGCAGTGATTGATTTCCAAGGGCCGGGACTTCGGGAACCATTAACACCCCCATTCCGGGAGGGCTCAGGTTCAGGTTCAATAACCTGGTTATAACCCCCCTCCAGCCAGCTGCTCGGGCTCCCTCTCCTTGCCTTGTCCTCCCAAGAAGCAGTGCGCGTGTCTGGATATACATTACAGATGATATAATCCTTTCACCGGGAGACAGCCGGATGCCCACGCCCATTGGCTGGACAGGCAAAGGGAGGCGAGAGGGAAGAGCCCCTCCAGCCCCCACACGGTGGAGATGGAGGAGAGGGGGAAGCCCCCACGGGTGGGAGGACAGGCTGGGGAGATTGGGGGCACCCAGGACCTGTGGGGAGTCGCTCCCCTGCTGCTGCCCTCTCTCAATTGCTTCAAGAAAGGCCTGTGAGTGCCCACCTGCTTTTCTGGCCACATGTCTCCATCACCCCCCAGCCCCCACTAGGAATGTGCCTCGAGTTAGGCCCTCTCATCACAGGAAAGAGGATAATATATGAAGCAGTCAGGGAGGCCAGGCCCAGGCGGGGGCTCATTCTGACCCCGTCCCCTGGCTCAGATGTCTGTGGGGGTCAGTGAGGGGGCTCCTGGGGATGCTGTGGGTTTTTATCACCTTGCTCCTTAATGGTCTGCCCCCCCTCAGTCATAGCACTGAGCACCCTGTCTGGCTGCCTCCCCCCAGCACTACCTCCCAACACCGCAAGATCTAGGCTGGGCCCCTGCTGGCTCCCTGCACCCAGACCAAGGTGTGACACCAGGCTGGCTGAGTTGCGTGCTGCTCTGGGGGAGCCGGGCCCCTGAGCACCTCTCTGCACCTCTCCCTCACTGCTGGAGCTGTCCCAGATGTTGGGGGAGGTCTCTACCCCCTAGGCTGGTCTAGGAGTGTCTCTGAGTCCCCAGCCCCAGACCTGGAAGCCCTAGTCAGTCCCTCACAGTGACCGTGGGGAAAAGTGAAGGCAGGAGGGAGCTGAGACCCGGGGCAGTGACCTGCCCAAGCCCCTACAGCAGAGGTGGTGAAACTGGAGCCAGAACCCAGAGCTGCACGTGGCAGGAAGCACCTTCCAGGGCCGGGGTCAGAGAGCGACAAAGCAGGTACTGTGGGCGGGCCAGCTCATAGAGCCACTTGGCCACCAGGAAGGGGACTCGGGAAGGGCCCTGCCACGCCATGTCGCCATATCGCACAGCCAGCTCTCCGTCCTTTGAAGAAAGCCCTGCTGTCTCCGAAGTTTCCAGCTCACAGATCTCAAACTCGGGGAGCCAGTCCTCCTTACTTCAGGGAAGGCCCCATGCCGGGATCCCAGAAGGTGAGGCGGCAGATCGCACCCACCGTGCTGGGAACGAGGACGATGAGCAGCCATGCTGTTATCGCACCGTCCTGGCAGTCCTAGATGAACCTTGGAGATGAGGACACCGAGGCACAGAGTCAAGGCTGAGGACCCCAGCCAGGCCGCAGCCTCCAGAGGGGACTGCCTCTGCCCTCGGGGGGCTTGGGTGTGGTCTGAGTAATTGTTTCTCACAGGCTTGGGGGAAGCCAAGGAGCGGGGCCAGCGACCCAGCCAGAGCGAGGAGGAGGGCAGCTCCTGGTTGCAGCGGGGCCCTGGGGAGCGGTCCCAGCAGTTGGGATCAGCGAAAAACCCGCTGCGGAGAGGGCCTGCTCCACCTCCGAGTCCGGGCCAACCCCGCCAGGGCGGAGCCCTGGTCTGTGGCTCCAGAGTGACAGAGATGGGCTCCTAGAACAGACGCATCCTGGCCGGATGAGGGCCTTCCCCTCTGTCACCCTCTTTTGGTCCCCCCACCCCTGTCCTCCATGCAGTCCCCCAGGCTCTCGCTGCCCCCTCCCCACTTGCCACAAGGAAGGCTCAGGATATTTCTGCCAACTCTATGGGGATTTTTCCCATCTAAATTTAGAGAGGAGCGATTACCCCGCAGTCCCTGCTTCCCACATTGCTGACTGATTTGCATCCCGAGAGCACCCAGCTCTGAGAGGAGAGCAGCGCAGATGCAGGACCACGTGACCCCGCCGCCCCTCAGGGCCAGCCCCTGGGCAGAGAGAGGGAGAGAAGAAGAGAGAGAGAGTCAGGACCTGGTGGCAGTGAAGCCAGAGGGCTCAGTCACATCCATGCATCCACCCAGAGGTGAGAGCCCCTGAGCCCCTGCCTGAGAGACGCCACAAGTAGGAAGGGGACAGCCAGGGCCCCTCACTCAGGGTCAGGCACACAGCCCAGCCTAGATGCTGACCCTCCCAGTGGGGGGCTTTGATGAGTCCCTGAGCCCCTTGCCGGGGTCCTCACTGTCCTGCCTGCAGATGACAGGGTACCGGTCCTCAGAGCCATCTCCCTCTATCACTGTGTGCTGGCCAGTGTGGGGAATCAGCCCCCCATGCTCCCTGACTCTTGTGGGGATGCACAGAAGGGCTTTGGCCCAATGCCCAGC